CCTCGCTTATCCTGGCGGACCGTTGTTTTTATTATTTTTGTTTCCTTTTGGCTTCATGTCATCTCCCATCTTTTTCTCCCGTCTAGATAAAGTTTAGGATAATATAATTACGGTACTTGGTAGATTTAGGAACTTAATTCCCTGTGGATCGATATCTGGAATTCACTATTCTACAAAACGCGATACTGTACACTTGCGGTGATGGAAAAATCAGGAAGAAAAAAAAATGTCAACGGCAGTGACGGACAGAGTTGTCCATAAAAATGTGTTTTTTGGTCAAAATTGAAAAATTTGTGAAATTTGGGGTTAAATTGAGGTTAGATTAAAGGATGAAATTAGAGCATATTAAAGTATGAGGGGCTATTTTAGTCTTTTACAAAAATCAGAACCATGTGTGGACTTTTTTGTAAAAGAGTTTATTGTCTGGATCTCTTTATGAATACGTACCCATTGATGGACTTATTTGTAAAGTGCCCAAAATAATTTGTTTAATTAATTTACTTTTTTGTTATTAATTTTCTTTTTATCATAAGTAGCATAATTAAAAATAATATTAAGTATGATTAAAAATATTTTGCTTAGTTAATTTTTTTATTATTAAAAATTTAATTATAAGTAGTATAATTATAATAATATTAGGTATAATAGAAAATAGTTTGTTTCGTTAAATTTATTTGTTTATCATTAAATATTATAAGTAGTATATTTTAAATTTCTAACTATTTCCGAGCTCCAAAAAAATTTAAAAAATTTCAATTTTCACCCTAAAATATTGTTTTCCGTTACTTGCTAATAGATATAAGATATGTAACGGCGGGGACCGAAAATGTTTAAAATTGAATCTTGGAGGTGAACTTTGTTTACTTTGGAACAACGGGGACCACAGGTGGAATCGAACCAAACATAAGGGACCAAAAGAATAAGTATCCCGAAGATATACAATTGAAGAATTTACTGTTTACATCTCCAATTTCACCCCACTTTTTTTTTCTTCCTTTCATTTTGTGTTTTCTTACCTTAAATATATGCTCCACCACGGTTTTCCACTTATATGAAATGCCATTAGTATAGAAGAAATATAATTTATACTTTATTGGTCTATATTTATTTGGGGTAATATGCTAAGAGTCCCTTAAATAACACCTAATTTGAACTAACTGACAACTTTAAATTCAATTTTTTAATTAAATCCCCACTTTGAAATAATATATGATCCACATCCCTAATTTTTATTTCATCCCTAATGTTCTCTTATACCCTAAATGTAATATTTCACGTTTCTTCAACTAATCAGATTTATTTTTCTTTTTTTCTGTCTCGCCTCTCCCTCTCTGTCTCGTCTCTCCGTTTCTGTCTCGCCTCTTCATCTCCCTCTCGCTTTCTCTATCTATTTCCCGCTCACCACTCAATTATGGTGGCTATGGTGATGGCTATGGTGAGTGGCGGTCGAAGAATTACAGATCTCTAAATGGCAGCTCATTTTTCAAGTAATCAAACATTTCATTTTACCAAGTTCAATGTTAGCCAGATTAGTCAACATTTAGGTGATTAATGGCTCATGACGGCTAAGAGCGGCAGCGATTGTCGTGTTTTAGAGCGGATGGTTATGGTGATAGATGGCCATTGGAGACGGTGGTGTGAGGTAAGTCTACGGTTGGAGGTGATTGCATTAAGCTAGGACTCTTTAATGGTGCTGGGGTTTTGGTTGGCGGCTAGGTTTTGGTGGATAGAAGTTGTTGGCGGCTGCGAGTTGTTGGCGACTAGGGTTTGGCGACGGCTGAGAGTTGTTTTGCTGCTAGGGTTTGCAGCAGTAGACCATAGTAAACTATAGTACATCGTAGTATGCTACAGCACAAGTATACTATTGTACCCCGTAGTATGCTACAATACACTGTAATATACAAATATATAAATTGAATTTACAAAAATAGAAAATAACTTTTTTCGTAATCCTCAATATTATGAAGAGATTTATTTTTTTATTGTGTAAAAAATGCTAAACTGAAGAAATAGAAGGAAAAGGAAAAAGGACAAACGTGTTTTGTGGAAAAAAACTAAAAATATTGGTTGGAAAAATTAAAATATATTAAATGCAGACTAAAATAACGATAAATGCAATTTGAATATTACTTAATGCAAATTTCGAATTTGTAAGTGGCGGGGCATTTTTGGAATGAATTTTATGAAGAATGTGCAGCAAATGTTTAGTTAAGGTTATTATTTAGTTCTAATACATTTTGTCACTAGCTAGATATCTATATCTTAATGCCCCTATTTCTTTTTAATTTTATTTTAATTGTTTAAAAAGATACAATTGTTTATTTTATGTTATTCATTTTTATAAAAAAATTACTTTAATTTGTTTGAATCATTTTTTATATGTTTGATTTTTCCATTTTTAGAAAGTTTGATTTTACTTATTTTATTAGTTTCCATTATGCATTCTATTTTTATTTCAATGTATGTTTCTCACTTGCCACAAATTCTGACCATGGAATGTTAAGGTGGAGAATTGTTTGTTTTGTACACATGAAACAACCAACAATCAACAACACAACTTTGTTTCAGTTGCTCTAGTATCCTGGCAAGCATTGTATATTTTTTATAAAAAAAAATATTTTAATCAACATTAGTACCATTCGATATGAGATTTTTATCAAATTATAGATTAATTTCCTCATTTATGGTGAAAATAAATTATGCATTTTTTGTTTCTTTTCACTTTTAAATCAGTAGAAAATAAATTATGCATTTTTACTTATTTTCGTCGACGAACAAAGACGAAAGAGAGATGTTGAAAAAAAAAATTCTTCTTAGTTTTGTAAAGAAAATGGAAGAAAGAGAAAAACAAAATAGGGGTATTGTGGGTATCTCAATGAGTAGGGAGTGTAGTGTAATTAGTAGGGCTGGGTATAGATCGTTTTTATCGGTCAACCGACCCATTTTCAACCCGATTTTATCTAGGGGTGGGTTTGGTAAGGCAACCGTACCAAACCCCTCGAATCACTATCATTACCGAAATTTCAGTATTTTGAAATCTATTACCATTGCCCTACAAAAAACTTTGGTATACCGATTTCGGTATACCAAAATTTCGGTACGATAGGGTATGATAATGATAATTACCAATTATGTTGACTTCTATTTAAATCTAAATTGAATATCATTTTTTCAAAGCAAGGGATATACATGTTTAAAATATTTAAAAGTAATATTTATGATATAAGTATTCCAAATATATGTTGTTAATTTACCTAATATGAAATATTTCGTAAATAAAATTATAACATAAAAACTTTTAACATTAATTACATCATCATTAATGAAAGCAATTTAAAATATTTTTGATGCGCCTAAAAAGTATAATTAATTTTAATATATACTGCACGGACACGGCGATACGCGTATACTGACACGGTGATACAACATTTCCAAAAAACTAGGATAAGGACACGCGAGGGATACGCGTAAATAAAAAAATATAGGGGTATATTTATAAATTATAAAAAATAGGGGTACATTTATAAATTGTAAAAAATATGTATAAGTCGTCATCGCATAAGAGAACCACTCGCCCTTGTTGCTCTTGTTCTTGGTCGTCGTCGCTGCTAGATTTTTGAAATTTTGGGTGGACTCACAAAGAAAACTGAGGAAATGGGTATTATAGAGAAGAGAAGGCGTATTTTTTTTTAATTATGGCTCTCTCTTAAAACATGAGAGAAGTGTCCCAACTTTTTTAAAATTGCGGACGCTACCCGATACGGGTGTCCTAATTTTAGTGAAATTACGACACGGCCTGATACGGGTGTTTGAACTGTGTGCGAGCGTGTCCATGTGTCCAAGTATCAGATACGGCGACTCTTTAATTTCTAGAAGTGTTTGTGCAGCATAAATTCTAACAAGCAGTAGTTAGTTAGGATACTATGTTCACTTTTTATATATAATAAATTAATTATTAAAATAAAATTTTCTTTATTAATAATATTTCGGTACGGTAGGGTAATACCATTTTAAATTTTTAATAATATTGAGTGTCGTTACCCTACCAAAATATTTCGGTAGGATACGGTAATAATTCGGTATAAATATTTCGGTAGGGTTCGGTAGGGCGACGGGTTGGTAGGGCAATTTGGTAAAAAAAATCCACCCCTAGTTCCCGAAATTTTTTTGTTTGACCGGTAATTTTAACCTACCCGTATATAAATAGGTCGGTCGGTGGTTTTCAATTTACTCAAAAGTCGGTTGGTCGAGTAATATCAGCCAACCGACTTTTTTAATAATAAAAATTTATTATAAATATTAATTTTTATTTTGTTAACGTTGAAAATATATAAAAGAAGTCAAAACTCAAAAACTCGAAATAGAAATTTATAAACCTCATACTATTTCTACTTTAAAATTCTTATTTCATATTCTTCATTATATATTTGCAACATAAGTTTAATATAAAAAAAGACTCTTGATTTTAAAGTTGAGATTTTTGCAACATAAGTTTTCTCAAAATTTTAAATCTTTTGAAAAAGCTTTTAAAACTATCTCATTACTATTAAAAAAAAATTAATAAATAAATGGCCGATAATACCTCCAGTCGACTCATTGTTTATCTGACAAAGCCGGTTGCCAACCATTATCCGACCCATAATGATCGGGCCCATAATGGTTTTTATTATTCAGCAAAATCGACTAATCGGGTTAAATAGGTAATTGGCAAATAATTATCTGGTCCGACGCATGTCCAGCCTTATTAATTAGCATCTTTCAAATCAAAAGTATAGAGCGGAGAATAAGATTTATTTACATAAGAACATATTAGCATTTGAATATTTGGTACGAGAATTTTATATATTTCACCCTTTTAAACAGTGCAAAGCCAAAATTGTATTTAAAAAACAAAAATAAAAGTAAAGAAGGTAAAAATAAAATTCCTCAAAATTAAATGTAAAAATATTTAAAAAGTCTAGCAAGTACTACTATTTAAGAAAAAAAAAAAAAAAAAAAAAAAACCAAGTCAAGCCTATAGAAACTGTAAAATTAGTTATGCTATGTCTAAGAAGTATTAGATTCGTTCTTGTTTTGAAGATCCACGTCAGCAGAGTTTACGTCGTTTACCACTAATCGTCCAATAGTAGCTTTGAGGGTGGTATAACCATATAGTGCCAAATGTGCCACTGCCAATCTTAATCCCATTTTACCTCCAAACATCAACAATATGCCGTACGACATCAATAATTTCCCTTCCTCTATGCTTCTGTTCCCTATGAATCTCAAAATACCTAACCTACATATTCAAATTTATATTAATATAAAGACTAAATATTTTGGAAATAACACAAGTATTATGCTACATCTAGTGAAATATTCCGATCATCTTGAATCATTGACCTACACATAATAATCACACACCCATATATATGTGTGTGTGTTTATTTATTTAGATTTATGGTTCAAAACTACCCGATTTGTTACACCAAACGTAGCATCTCGTAGACTGTACTAAAGTATAGAGAAGAATATTACAATGTAGATATAAAGACAAAGAGAGAGCCGAAATTGCCTTTGCCTACAAAAAAGAAGAAAAATATTATTAGCAAATAATTATGAGATTAAATTCTGAGCGGATCTGCTGATATTTAATATAAATCGAATTCCACTAAATTTTTTGACATGTGGCACTCTTAAGTCTTAACTCTTAATAAGTTTTCTTTTTTCTATTTCCAATTATTAGAATCAATCATCCTATGGCATCCGATTTTCCTATTAAAACAGACCATCCGATCTAAATTTGCATCCAATAATTATATAAGGTTATGTATAAAGTAGTGGCTAAACCTATGATAGATCGATGGTCCAAATACAATGATACGATCCCTTGGAAATCATAGTAGTATTTCCTACGAAAACCTATGATATTATTGAATAATAATTTTATTGTAACATAATGAAAATAAATTTATTGAAATATAAGAAACCCCAATTAAGAATCCTCTTCCAACAAGCAAAGAATATTATTACTACCTCAATTAAATAATGGTTGAATAATTGAAAAAATAACCCTAACAAATAAACTAGTTATCTAATATTGTATTCCTAACAGAATATATGCAGAATCGACGTTACATGATTCCATAGTAATAATTCATATGTATGAAACATGAATAACCAAGGTTAGGTTATATGATAAATAAACCATTGATCTAATATAATAGGGTGATTTAGAAAAAGAAAGAAAAAAAATATACATTCTATGTGAAAAATACATAACCGTTAAAAAGAGAGCTCTTAAAGTTAAACTACAAACCAGTTTCACTGGCAACATGACGAATAACGAGGGCTACGGGTCCGTCCATCTTCGCTGCTTTAAACTCCGAAAATAATATTAGAGAGAGAGAGAGAGAGAGAGAGAGAGAGTATGCGTGAGATGATAAAAAACGGGTTCTGCTACGAGTATATATATGTAGATGTTGAGAAGGTGAATAATATATATCCGATTTAGCTACTAAATACTAATCCTAATAAAACTCAATAACCTCAATTAAACTTTAATTTAGTTTGGAGCTAGAACTTAATTATTGAAATCTCTTCACAATTTTAAATTGTATACATATTTTAAAATTTTAAAAGAGTTCGTATATTTTAACAATTTAATGCAACATAGGAGAAATTTAAACTCTTTGATATCTTTATTTTGTTTTTATGAAAAAACATTTATACCTAGTTTATAAGATTGTTTATACGGATTTTTGTGCATAAGTTTTTAATCAAACATCTTTATTATTCTAGGTTTAGGGGTTATATCTATTTCACCAATAAGCACATCCCTTTAATATTTATTATAAATAAAAGAAAAATTCATGTATATGACAAAATTACCCCCAACCCTTTGCACAAAATTATTAATTGTAACCTCAATTTAATCAAATTTGACCATAAAAATCCAATTTTGATTTCTTTTTTTTTCAAAAACATTTTTTTTCAAAGAACATTTTTTTGCTGCCGGATTCCGGTGTTGACCGGCGGTTTTCGATTTTTTTTTTTTTTTGGTATGTTTTTTCCGCCGCCGGATTCCGGCGTTTTTTTTTTTTTTTTTTTTTTTGTGGTCTGTTTTTTCCGCCATCGGATTCCTGAGTTGACCGCCGGTCTCTAGAGTTGACTTTTTTTATTGTTTTTTTTTACGTCTACCGCTAAATGTTGACTGTAATTGTGCTGCATTAACGGTAATTATACGGTAAATCAACGTAATTATACTGTCACTGACAGTACATTAACGTAATTGTAGTGCCGTTGACAATACATTGATGTAATTGTACTGCCGTTGACAGTAAATTAACGTAATATTTTTTTTTATTTGTTTACAAGTCAACGTAATTATATTACTGCTGTTGACAATAAAATAACTGTAAACACAATAATATTAGAGTCAACCACATCAATATTATTATTTTGTTTGGTTTTTTTTTTTTTTTTGAGTTATTCACAGAGTAATGAAATAATATTAATGTCTATTATTGTACTATTACTGTAAACACAATAATATTACTGTGGTTGTCGGTAATATTACTGTTGTTATAGTAATATTATTGTCAACCATATCAATATTATTATTTTGTTTGGGTTTTTTGTTTTGTTTCAGTTATTCACGGAGTAACGTAATAATATTACTGTCTATTATTGTAATATTACTGCGGTTGACGGTAATTTTACTGTTGTTATAGTAATATTACTGTCACTCACAGTAATATTAATGCTTTTGACTTTTTATTATGTTTACATTTGTTGAATAGTCAACGTAGTAATATTACTCTATTACACAATAATAATGAGTTTTGTTGTGTTAATATTACTGTGCTAGAGATTAATATAGCAATATTACTGTGTTAAATTGTATTATAGTTAATTTTACTGTGTTTAACAGTAATATAGTTAATATTACTGTCAATCACAGCAATATTGCTATTTAGACGGAAAAAAAATGTTATAGAATGAAAGGAAAAAAAAAAAAAAAGTCGAAAAAAAAAGTCAACGCCGGAGACCGGCGGCGGTCAACGGCAGTTGACCGACCGGAAAAAAATTTCAGAAAAAGAAAAGTTTAAAAAAGTCAACGCCGGAATCTGGCCAGACAAAAAAAAATCATAAAAAAAATTAGTTTTCTGAAAAAAAAAATCAAAATAAAAAAAAAAAAATCAACGCCGGAATCTGGCCGGACAAAAAAATTTCAAAAAAAAAATCAAAAAATTATTAAAATGGGGGTTAATGTGATATATTTGTTTAAATCCGAGGTCAATGTATGATATTAAGTAAGTTAGAGCATAATGGATGTAATTGATAAGAATTATATTATGGAGGGTATTTTAGACTGAAGACATGGGGATGGGTTTATTTGAAAAACTATTATTTTTTGTGGACCAATGTGCAGTTAAGTCCCTTGTCATGTCTTTTTTTGCCATTTGTCCATTAATTAATACTTCTTCCATTTCAAATAAATGTCGTTTAAGGTTAATACTTAATACACACTAATTAAGAAAGTTAATAAATAATCTTAATTTTAGGAAATAATTCATATTTGACAAAATTAACCCTTATGTGGCTTTAAATCTCTCTTTATTAGTTCATTAATTCTCTCTTTATTAGTTCATTAATCTCTCATTGGTAAAATTGAACCAAAAGAAATTGTCTTATCTTGAAATTGATGATTATTTTACTACAGAGCTCGTTTCTTGGACAAAAGTTCTTAAAGCAACAATGTTGTTAAATATTTTTTTCTTGAATGATGACAAACTACAACGGAAGTTTTTACCATATTAAAAAAATTTAGGGATGGAACTGAAAGTGAAGTCAACTTCAACAAGATAAAAAAAACACTTCAAACATATTTTGTCCACTCTTCTATATATTTATGTTATTATACGCCTTTCCTTTGTCTATTACTGTAAGTATTAGTTCATTTATTCCACGATAATACTCGTTTAAATATTTTACACAAAGTATTAAAAACTCAATGAATGTGGTTTAATATTAGAAAAATATACAACTTTTAGATTAAAATACCCAGGTCCACTAATAAAAGAAAGAGAAATAATAACAGAAACAGTCTCTAAAGCTGCAAATATTGTGGAATAGAGGGAGTATTAATTCATTCCGAATCTTGTGCCAAGTTATTAGATTAAAGTTATAAATACACAGTGTCCTGAGTTGTTGCCATTTTGGGTTTGCCTCACTGGTTTCGCAAATAGTATCACCTGCCTCATTTAGGCTTCCCTCAAGGCCTATGCAGCACGAAAACGAAACAATGATACGGGGAAACGGCATAACCCAAAAATAAGAATACGGGAACTTGGGGAAAACGTGTGAATATTGAAATTATAGAGCTATATTTATAAGTATGCTATATAAACATATATATTCAAAATAAATTTTAGTATCAACTATCAATTTTGCAAATGGTCATTAAATCATGTAAATAATTAGGGAAGCAACAAAAATATTTAAAATTTTGTTATTCAAACATGTTTCAAACTTTTTAGGAATTGCAAAATGGCCCATAAGGTGTCCGGCAAGTGTCCTCGAGTGCCCGACACGAAACGTGTCTGAAACGCGAGAATGTTAAGAAGTTGAAGTTTCCGTGCATATATGGTTATTACAGCCTCAGAGCTCACCGGGGCTTCGTGGAAACGATGTCATGCCTTGTGAGATGGAGCTTCAAAACAAGAACAACCCTAAATTTTTGTAGACATTACTTTTTAGGTTAATAGTACAAGGTTGCTACATATTTGCATTTCTCGGAGTATTTGTACATATTTGGCGAGGCTCGACACATACAAATATGCATTACACAGAGGAACCACATGATTAATGCACAAGGCATAAGAAACCGAGAAAGCAATTTTTGGTGTTCTTTATAACCCCGAAACCCTAGAGAATAGATCCAAGAATGGTTTCTGCCGAAATATGGGCTTCAATTTAAAGAATATATTTGTTCACGGTATAGCTCAAATGCTGCAAATATCCCATTGTAAAAAAATCTTCTTAAAGGGTTCATTAATCGAACTACGTGTATAAGATTCGTCGTCATCAAAATAATATATGCCTTATAACTGAACATATACAGATATAAAATGAAATCGGGATCTTGCCTTTCTATCGGATCATGATTGATGGATGTTACAGATGGCAGCACTAATGCTTTTGCAATCAAGTTCCATTGTCTTCATCCAGTTCTCAAAATCTCCGATTTCCTGTTGACAAATAGATACACACACTATTACCGTGTTTCTATTAAAATCGAATAAAATAACAGAAACATATCGAACAAGCACAACTAGACCTAAATGTTCGTTAACTAAAATGAACTATTTTTTTCTTTATCGACGATTAAACGGTTCAATAAACGAAATACACATTGTTAATAAGTTAATAGAGAAACAAAAAACAGTAACCAACCTTGACAGCATTGTTGATAGCATGTGAAGCTGCTAGCCATTGGTCGGTCTGCTTCGAAAATCGCATAATAGTAGATGTCAGTGCTCGGATTTCCATTTCGATTCGCTTCTCGTTTATAAAGATATCTTGAACACCTCCGTTAACCGCATTCACCATCTGATCAGAGACACGCACTGCACTCTGAATAGCTTCTTTCTTCGATTTGTCTAATTCCATCATCGAAACATTTTAAGAGAGAGAAAGGGGAAAAACATAAATGCAATAAAAATCGAAAAATTACATCGAATTACCGGTGTGTTCGCGTAGCTTTGCAGAGGCGTGATTGTGATTAGTGATCATTTGAAGAAGTGAAGCTTCGAGGCTTCCAGCCTCCAACTGATGGGGTCGCTCCATTTATGAAAGCTTCATACGCAGAAAAAATAAAAAAAAATAAAAAAATAAAAAAACATGAATAAGTTTCTCTTATCAATTTTTGTGCCTAACTATTAGAGGTGGCAATTTGCTCAACTTGGACCGGTTCCGATCGGGATCTGTGTGGATTGGTTCCAAAATAAACCGAATCCAAAATCAACTTATATAAATGGATCCACTTTGATCCAAACACACCCTTTTCACACTCAAACACGCTTTTCACACACACATGCACGTACTTACACGCACTTATGACATACATACTTTTGACACATACATACACACACTCATACACATTTTGACGCACACAATCACACATTTCTTTACACACACAAACACATAAAAAAAAAAAAACACAAATTCACAAATACACAAACATGATCTCTTTTCTCCCTCTCTTCTCTCTCCCTCCTCTCTCTCTCTCTAACTGACTCTCAAATTAACGGCAACACATGATACATATTATATTCATATATCAAATTCCGCATTGCATTGCAATGAATATAAAGGAATCCTCAACAACCATAATTGTACAGTATCTCCTCTTCTACTTCTTGATTTTGCACTGTATTTCTACACATGGAATCTGACCATCTAATATAGTGTATTATTTGTGTCCTTGTCAAATGGACATTTTTTTTATTAAATAGTAACTATTAGAATCAATAATTGCATTCCCTCAAAACTTAATCTTCAACATCTCTACGAACACCACAAAAGCTGAAGGAACAAAGAGATCAGAAAATGTGGAAAAAGGCATAAGGAAATAAAAGAAAAAAATATCCAACTTTTTATGTTTGTGCAATCACATAAATGGAGGGCTGATTTTGTGCCCCAAGACTACATTCTTGATTCTGAAGCTAAAGATGAATTGAGTTTACATACACAGAAGTTTGCTAAACTGTGGCGGCGACCGGCGTTGTTGGCAAAAGGGAAGAGAGGAGGCGGCGGTGCGGAATATGGCGGCCGAGGAAAGAGGGGAGAAGGAGGCAGCGGAAGTGTTGGATACGGCGGATCTGATGAAATAAAGAGGGGAAAAGGAGGTGGCGGTTATACGACGGCGTTGACGGAAGAAAGAGGGAAGAAGGCGGCGGAGGCTGAGGCGGCGGAGGCGTCGGCGACGGCGTCGGTATGGGTGGTGAGAATTGGCAAATTAGGGCTGAGTTTTTTTTAAGTTTCAGACATTTTATTTGTTGACTTTTCTTAATTCTTTTTTTAATGGGACTTTTTTTTAATTTTTAGTTTTTTTGACTTTTTAGACTTTTAGTTTCGGATTTGAAGTGGACTTTTCATAATTTAATTTGGATTTATAATTGACTTTTATGGTTTTTGAAATGGATCAATTATGATTTGAAGTCATAATCTATATAATATATAAATTGAAACCCTCATTGCTTAGAATTTCGACATTTGGCATCCATGTCATCGACACGTGGAAATCTACATGTCATCCTATTCATTTTGACACATGTCATTATTTATTACTTTGATATATTCCATTTTTATTTACCAGCATTAATTGACGATTTGTCTAACTTACCAAAAAGTTGCCCGAATCATTAATTAGTATTTTAATATGGAAATAATATATTATATCATAACAACTTTGATACATTTTAAAAACTAAATTAATATTAGTAGAATTCGAAATGTTTATTGTTGTGTTTAAATATATTTATTATATAATGCTGTACATTATTTATTAATCATTATAGAATTTGATTTTTTTTTTTTTTAACTATATTTCGGATTAGACACACCCAACAATATCAATTAAATCTTTATCAAATTTATATACTATTGATAAATAGATATATATATATATATATATATATATATATATATATATATATATATATAAACAGTTAGGTGGCGATAATCTGCCTCAAATTGTTAGTCGAAAACAACTCAATCAACTATTTTATTCCCGAAACTTAATTTGCCTCAAATACATGCTTACTTTTTGTGTTTTTCATTTTTTTTCAATTAGTTTTTCAATTATCTATTCATTACTAAGTATTTTATTCAACCTTTTTTTTTTTCTTTTCATGTAATGTACTATTGATTACACATTTTATTAAAGTATAAATCTTATTCCTCCACCAAATCCGCTATTTTCAACCGATGGAATAATTAGTTTGTAATACAATTATACGTTTCAATTTACATTCAAACAATCCACATTTTTTCTATGATTATTTCCGTAAATATCATTTTTTTAGTATACAAATCATGGAAATCTTATAATTTACCCATTTATATTCAATCAATCCGGATTTCTTCTACATTAATTACACAATTATATTAATCATAATATAATTTCCTAATTTATCAAAATCTAAAAAATCTTATTACACCACATCCTAAACACTATAAATACTCTATTGTTTTCACTTATTTATTCACATAGCCAGCCACAACACACGTAATTTTTTTTTGTTTGCTCTGTTTTCATTTTTTATTCCCCATTAACTTTTTTGTTTTCATTTGAACGTTTAGTAGTTCTTGATAAAAAAAATTGTTGGATTTCATTCTTATTTTTTTGTTCTTGATATTCTTTTTTGCATTATTATTCCTTCTTATTGTTTTCCAATGTATTGTTGTTTGCTAAATATTGATAATTCTGTCATTCTTATTTTTTGTTTGTTATTCACTTTTATTTGTTTTTATTTTTGTGAATACGTTATTCTTTATATATATATCCCTTTTAATTTATTTTTGTTGATTTTTTTTAATGTTATTCTTCATGCCAATATTATTTTCATTTAAATTTTACGTTCTTATTTTTGTTTCATTGTAGTGTTTTTTATTGACTTAACTAAAGCATTATTGTTCGTTATTGTAGTTTACATATTAAAAATTTTTCAAGAAATGATTTTTATATTTTGCAATGAATAAATCTTTTGTTTCATTGTAGTGCCGTAATTTATTCATCAACTCAACCCTTTTGTTTAGATTGTCTTTTTTTTTTTTTTCTTTCTTTTAATTTGAGTTATTTATTTTTTGTTTGTTTGATGTTGTACATACATGGATATCATCATTGTGTACGTAGTAACCGGTAACATTGTAAAAAAGGAAATTAAATTGCGGTCACATGCAAGCGTTGCCATATTTTCGGCTCACGATGATGAACTTCACGATAACATTGTTTTGGACAACAATTCAATAATGTTATTATTCTATGTATGTAAATGATATCATAATTTTTTTTTTCTTTCCCACATTAACAATTTGAATTTTAAATTAAATATTTCTTTATTTGCCTTTTATCAATCTATAAAATCATATTGAATAATCTTATTTTTATTGTTTTTTATGTATGTCACCTTAAGTTTTTCATTCCTTTATTAATGTAATTACTTGAATTAATTGATATCAAATTGCACGATTTGCTCTATCGATATTTATATAAATTGAAATCCTCATAGCTTAAAAAATCCACATTTTGCATACCTATGTGTCGTCCCAGTCACATCCTATGTGGTATCGGTCTTTTTCTCATTTTTTTTCCCTATTTCCGAGTGCATTTAATTTTGTTAATTTGTTTCTATAATTATTTTTTATTTCTTTCCTTTATTTGTAGTCACATTATTTATAATTAATCTTATTATGGTAGTTTATAAACACACAATCAAAAATAGGTTTCTTAATGTTTTTTAAAAACCATTTCTTTGGACTAACTTCACTTCCAGAAATCATTTCACACGTGCAACAAAAAATAAAAAGGATATAGTGACTTTTTTGTTGATTTCCTTAATATATGGTCGTCTTAATCAAGTGATTTTATTATTATTTGAGCATTGATTTTGTGATAATTTATAATTGATTAAATTTTTAATTTTTTTTATTAATTTTACACATTTTCCTTTTTTTTCGAATTTTACTTAGTTTCCAGAATTAGTGTTATTATTATTATTATTATTATTATTATTATTATTATTATTATTATTATTATTATTATTATTATTATTATTATTATTATTATTATTATTATTATTATTATTTCCTTCGATACTTCGGAACATAATGATACAAATGAACAAATGTAATTTAAATCAAATATCAGCTAATAAAATTCAAATTTATACATATATTTTCTTGGTGGTTATCGGTTATTAAGATTAGGATTAAGATTAGGATTGGCATTAGCATGAGCATTAGCATTAGGATTAGCATTAGCATTAGCATTAATATAGGGATTAGTATAAAGATTAGTATTAGAATTAGGATTACGATTGCCATTATCATTAGCGTTGAGATTATAGTTTGTATTAGTATAAGTAGTAGTATTAGGATTATGACTATGATTAGAATTAGAATTGGAATTATGATTAGCATTAACATTATTATTATTATTGGGATTGAAATTATGATTAGCATTTGCATTATTATTATTATTATTATTATTATTATTATTATTATTATTGGAATTATTATTGGAATTATGATTAGTATTAGGGTTAGTATTAGTGTCAGTTTTATGATTATGATTAAGATTATGATTATGATTAAGATTAGGATTAAGATTAGGATTGTCATTAGCATAGCATTAGCATTAGCATTAGGATTAGCATTAGCATTAGCATATTAGCATTAGCATTAATATAGGGATTAGTATAAAATTAGTATTAGAATTAGGATTATGATTGCCATTATCATTAGTGTTGAGATTATAGTTTGTATTAGTATAAGTAGTAGTATTAGGATTATGACTATGATTAAGATTAGAACTGGAATTATGATTAGCATTAACATTAGTATTATTATTGGGATTGAAATTATGATTAGCATTTGCATTATTATTATTATTAT